ATGTTGCATTATCTCGCTGCACTCACCCAGATAGAGTGTTTGCTATCTTTCCTGAGAATGAAGAGGGCTCAAAGACAACAAATGTAGTGTATACAGAAGTGCTTAGAAGAATTACGATTCATGTTGGATGATCGATGTACATATGATGTACTTTTATATAGAGAACCGACTTGGATGTGATGTATCATGTAGTTTTAGTTGTGTCGAAATGCTGCTCAAAAATGTCATTGTTTTTAAAATCCACTATGATCATTAGTAAGGCAAAGTGCTGCAGGCACCTCGCAAAGGAGCGTGAAGCGCTCCCTTGCCTTGCTGTGCCTTTGGCACAGCAAGTATTCAAGGTCAAGACTTAAGACACCCAAAGTAGGATGAAGCCAAAGACCAGGAAGCCACAAAAGAGTGCAAAGTGCTCTTTTTTTGCTTCCTGTGCCAAAGGCAGAATGGGTGTGTGCTAGTTACTGATCCCCTAATAGGACTCATCCCCCAGATTTTGTTCCAGGTATCTGTCTCACATAAGCATGAGCAGATAAGCTAAACTTTGATCCTGCAAATTGGCTATGGCCAGAGGAGGCTAAGCTAGTATGCTGGCTAGTCTGCACGCATGAACTCACATTTGCTTGGGAAGCATCAGAGCGTGGCTGCCTTGACGAAAGGTCTTTCCCACCTTACAAGATACCAACAGTTCTGCACGTGCCATGGTCGCAGCGCAATATACCAGTCCCGCCATTGACAAGGGACAAAGTCACGTGCATCATCAAAGAGAAGATCGCATCAGATGTATACGAGCACTCAACGGCCGCATATCACTTGCAATGGTTTTGCGATTCCAAAGCACATGCTACCATTTATCTACAACATCGCAGTAAAGTCCATTGAGACACAATACAAACTCGCAGATGGTACTTATGAGACCATCCCCGACAATCCCAGAATCCATTGCTTCATCTAAGAGCACCTCAAAGTTATAAACCACATCTTGCAATGGCTTCACAACGTCAGCATCACAGTTAGCGCAACATTTGTTCTCGCTGTGCCGAGTGCAGTTATCATCAGACATAAGTGTACCTTCGAGGGTCGCATACCTGAAGACACCAAAGTCCAGAAGATATGAGATTGGCCAGAGCCTACCAACCAGTCACAAGTCTGTGGTTTCTTGGGAACCTGTGGTGTTTTATGCATTCACTAACAAATCTCACCAGGAAAGATGTCCTTTTTGTCTTCAGACCAGAGGAGCATGAATCATATCAGACACTCAAGGACTCAGTATTAGAGTCTCCTGCTCTTCGTCGCCTCAATTACGAGAGTGAGTGCGAGGTCGTCCTTGCCATTGACACATTCAACATTGCGATTGGCTTCATTCTGTTGCAAGTAGGCACAGATGGCAAGTGATATCCTAATTGTTTCAGAAGCATAGTGCTGAACGAGGTGGAAAGCCGCTACTCACAAGCAAAGTTAGAGCTCTACGGACTCTTTCACACAGTTTGCATATTCATCTTTGGAGTCGAGAATCTCATTATTGAAGTCAACACTAAGTATATCAAAGGTATGATCAACAACCCTGATTTGCAGCCTAATGTGACCATCAATTGATGGATCACAGGTATTTTATTATTTTCATTTAAACTTGTTCATTTTTCTGTGACCAAGCATAAAGGCATTGATTGTCTCTCAAGGAGGCCACTTGCTGATGAGGATCCTCTCGAGGAGGACGATGACCATGAAGATTTGATTGATTGCACATACTCATTCGGAGTTGCGCTACTCAATGATAGAACCCATCATGTCGTGAGTAGTTGCATGGAACTTGTTCGCCGCATGCATCTTTAGACCTCACACAAGAAGAGCAACCAGACCTGATCATCCCTTGCTCAGAGGCCACACAAGTGCTTGACACATTGCTTGTCTTAACCAAAGAGTTTCTTATCTCACGCGAAAGACCCACTGACCTTTCAGATCACGAATTTGCAGTGTTCATAAATTATGCTGCACATTTCTTCATCCTCAAGGGCAATCTCTGGCGTAGAGAACCCCATGGAAAGCACCAGCTAGTAGCTCCACTGTGCAAGTGATATCACCTTCTTAAGGAAGCACACAATGATCTCAGCCATAAATGTGTCTATACCATGTGCATTGAAGATGAGGAATCTAAACTGTGAAGTAAGTTGGTGCTAAGCTAAGCAAACACAGCTAGTCCCGGGTGCAAGTGAAATCATTGACCCAAGGGCAGCTAACTGGTAAAGGGAAACCTCTCTTTGTAGAAAGAGGGACACCAAACAACTAATAGGGTACTACGACTATGGATGCACAAAGTGTGAGACTAAAACAATGCGATGAGCGAAAGGCGGAGACGTGCAATGATGTGCGAGTATGAAAGGTGAAGGGCGAGGTACACAATGCAAAGGTAATGCATGCGAGTGAAGGTGAGAGACTAGCGAGTGAGAGAAACAAAGGGAATACGAGGCGAGACTAATGTTAACACCCCAACTAAGGTTGGCTGATGCTAAGACGAAGGCGGAGAACCAAAGTGCGCGACTTTAGATAGTCACTTGCAAACAACGAGTAAAATTCCTTGTATCTAAGGACACAGAGAAAGTGGGCAGAAAATCAACCCAGTACATAAGTAATAGAGGGGTATAAGTAAAGTAGCTAAGCGGCGCTAGGCACACAGGTCCGATGTGACAAGCCAAACAAGTTATAAATAGTACGCGAAGTATGTAATAGGGTCTCAGTTACACGTGAAGTGCAGAGCTGAGTATTAGCGATGGAAACCAATTAGACGAAAAGGAAATATGATGGGAAAACACACCAATGAACTACTAAGGACATGGAATGGACAGGCGGACGGGTGCATGGACAATGTGAGTGCAGATATGCGAAATGCGCAAACCCATGAGGCTGCGCATGAAACCTGCGAAATAAAATATAAGTGCACTAATGCACTAGATGTATCCTATGGATTAGAGCTGGAGTTTGTAGGGAAAGTGGGAGAATTTGGAGGGAAGTGCCTGTGGAGACATGAGGCTCTACAGTGTGTGGTTGCTACTACACTTTTGGTGGCCACGCATTATCGAAGACATCAAGTGGTACACGTGAACATGCCACAAGTGTCAAGTCCACCAAATGCGAAAGCTCTATATCCTGCTGAAGTTGAGGAATCTAAACTGTGGTGAAAGTTGGTGCTAAGCTAAGCAAACACAGATAGACCCAGGCGTAGGGAACTGCGCGGGTATGGGTAACCTGCACGGGTCACGGGTAGGGGTACCGCTGGGGTACGGGTACGGGTCTGAGGTCATGATACCCCTACCCCTACCCATACCCGCGCTGCGGGTATCAGTCACAATGGGCGCCAAACGGATGCCAAACAGGTGCTAGTAAAATTCAACTACATAAATACGAAACTATACAGCTGCCAACTGTCAAACTCTAAAGACAAATATAAAATCATACCACGCCACCCGTGAACCTTCGTCACCCACTAGTGCTGCCCATCATGCAGCTCAACTTTGCAGCCACAGCGAAACACATCATCAAAATGACTGGAAAGGCGAGAGCTGCTCTAGAAGAAAAGAATTTAAAAATGTCATCAAAGAAGTGGAAAAACGATGCTGGTGGAGATAGCGTGAACACACACCTTAAGAAGGCAAAAAATAACCTGCAGGCTGGTAATACTCCCACCAGCAGTGTAGGGTCTGCAGATGAAGATGAGCTGGTCAAAAAAAATAGCTCACAGCTTCACAGACAGTGTCCATGTCTCCATGTCCAGACTCAGTCTCGAGTCGGCATGCCCTGGTGCACACCGAGGAGGAAGAGAACGCAATGAATGAAGACAAAACTGAGACCGGTAGCACTGTATCACAGGCTGAGGTGGAAGCCGACGAGACTGCGGAAGATGAGCTTGGTATGTGCAGAAGCCTTGATGTGAACATTACATTAATTGAGTACCAAACAGCACGCTCAATGAAGGACTGGAACTCACCAGTCTACGTGTTCTTCAATCCGACACCACAGATTACTGAACTTGATGGGCGCCATGCACATAACTTCAAGTGCCAAGCTAGGAATTGCAAGACCAAAGTGTGACGATACCTTGACAAAGGTGATGCATGCTCCACCAGTAACATGCGGAAGCATGTGCGTTCGTGCTGGGGCGATGAAGTGTTGAAAGCTGCGGATGAGGCCAACGATGCCAACGAGGTGCGCGAAAATATAGTTGGTAGTTTCCTGCGAAACAAATCGATCACTGCGTCATTCAAGCGTAAGGGTAAAGGGAAAGTTACATACTCACACCGTCAACATACACGTGCAGAAACACAGTACAAACAAAGTCTTATCTGAGTCTTGGACTGAAACATCTGCCTTCAGGGCCGAAATAGTGAGCTGGGTGTCCGAGAGCCTGCGTCCATTCGATATCGTCAAGGACCGTGCATTTCAGTCGCTGATGAAGACAGGGAGACTGGAATATTACATACCTTCTGCCTCCACTGTTTCGAGTGACGTGCAACAAGTATTTGTGCGAACTCGACAGCGTGTTGCTACAATGTTACAGGTAAGTATTTATCATTAATAAAAAAAATGAATATTCAAAACACACCAGGAATATGACAGTAAAATAAACTTTACTACTGATGGTTGGTCATCGCCCAACCATCGTGCGTTGGTCGCATTTTCAGCGCACTTTGAGCACGAGGGGGAACCACTAAGCATCCCATTAGACGTTGTTGAAGTGGGGAAGGTAAAAAAAACTCACCTATATAGATATATATGAGCTGAGAGCTTCATAGTCACATACCGGCGAGGAGCTTGTGGAGGTGTTTGCAAAAGTGCTAGAAGAATTCGGTATATCAGAAAAGCTATTGATCTGAAGAAAAATTGAACAAACTTACATGCAACTAAAACCGCATTGCACAGATCCTGAGCGTCACTTGCAATAATGCATCTAACAATGACACCATGATTCGTGAACTGAGCAGTAAGGTACTGGAATTCGGTGGACCAACCACTCACACTAGGTGTTTCCTGCACACTGTGAACCTGGTGGCCAAATCGTTGATCTGGGAATTTGATGTGAAGAAAGGAGAGGCCGACCAAGCATTGGCGCATAGTACTGACAGTACTGACATAGAGCTGGAAGAACTTAGCACAGATATGGAAGAGGACACAGGGACGATGTACGAGTCATTGTTTCCGGTGCCGACAGATACAGTTATTTTGTCACTTCCAAGTATTATGGGTACAAATGTTGCACTGAGCATGTCAGGTTCAGTAGCAATGATATCCTGAAAAGAATGTTCAATACAAGGAAGTAATATCCAATATAAAGACACATACCGCTTGCTGCCAGGCCCAGTCATCTGACATGAAGTCTTGGTAACAGTGTTCGTCTTTACTGACCAAATATTCATGGAAAGGGTGATAATCAAAATCATTCACATAGTCGGGGTTAGCAAGGATGTTGCATGCAACTTCACAAGGGTTGCGATAACAAACATCAAATTGTTGATTCATCCATGAAGGCACATCCGGTATATCAAGTTTCTCTCTGGAATACTGAATTTTGAAGGACTGCCAGTTGACACCACCAATTGGAATATTATTGATGGTCTTGTAGAGGTCCTTATGATCCACAAAAGGCAGCATATCGCCATGTTTGAGGAGTGACGTAGCCCAGAGATCAAGAAGAGTGTTTATATTGGGCACGGACATTTGTGCATGGCTGTACAGGAATTCAGCTGTCTCAAATTCAGTACGGTTCTGGAAGGGTGACCAGTCATCAGGTAACTGTTCTGTGAGAGGCAGTGGTGGAGTAGTGTTAGATGAGCTATAAGAATAAGGCATGCTCACCATTCAAACCAGTGTGATAGTTGTGGTACAAGTTCTTGTCCATGCCATAGAATTTGGTGTCTACTTCAGGAGCTGGTGGTACAGATAAATGGCAGGCATCTTCAGAAGGTGCTGTCAGATAAAACACACTGACATTGAGACTGAGACTCACCACCAATATCACCATCAACTTGCCCTGGTGGTGGTGGAGATGACAGGTGCAGTGTATCTTTAATAAGTAGTGTTAGAGCTGTTGTGGGTCGGGTATCACTGATGGGACTCACCAGCATTCGTGCCATAATCTTCTTCTTGTGCTGGCAGCACCAGAGATGAGCGATTTGAACCGTGATCTTGAGAAATCAGGGTCAGAATAAAGACATTAATCACTGAGTGAAACAGATGCTGGACTCTCCATCAATGTCTATGTCTTGTGACCCAGCTCCCTTTGTAGTATTTGCACTGCTCAGAATTGGGTGCATTGCAGTGTGGTGCCTTGTGTGTCCACTGAGGGATTTGAAGTACTTATTACATCCAGGACAGCCACAAGGAAATTGATATAAAATATGTTTCCTTCGAGTGTACTGAGTAGAGCATGGTGGCATGCTAGAGTGCAGAATGAAGAAAGAACATTAGTGGAGGACTGAATGCAAACCTTGCTCTTACAGTAACTTAATTAGGACTAGAGGTAGGGTAGTATCATCAAAAATTGAGCCGCTGCCTACAGAAGTTCGAGAATGTAAGAGAAATGTCAGCAAATGTGCGTTAATCCACGGGACCAGTACCTTGCAATTTTTTGTGCCCCAGTTATTTGCTCTACCTCGTCTATTCCTCTCATCAACTCCAATAGTCAACCATGGCGCCTAAAGCCTCACAAGAAGTGTCCACTCGTCGAACTCGTCCAGCAAATGCAAATACTCATCCTGGCAGGCCTGTTTTAGAGCTGAAGCTGAGGAGTGACTCCAGAATGCAAAGAGAAAACCACGTACCAAGAGCTCGAAGGTCACTGATGACCCACATGTGAATGAAAGCCCTGAAGAGAAGAGCACACAGATTCAGAAAGCTGCTGAACGAATTGCTGTTATTGAGGATACTATGGAGGCTCTTGAAGCCTAAGTGCAGGGAGGAATCAAGGCAAAGCCTGTTCATCCTCGTCCTGTAGGCAAAGGCAAGAAAACATCTAGCCCAGATATTACTAATGGTATGATGAACATTACATTGAGAATAGAAACTGATATTGACACTCACCAGATAAAACCACTTCTGTTGATCCAGAGGATACTCTACTGAGCGATGGAGAAAGTGAAGTTGTTGATGGGAAGAAAAAGAAAGAGAAGGTGCCAAAAACATTGCTGAAGGAAGCCATCAAGAATGCCTGCAAGACTGATCACTTTGATTCTGATGCACATGCCTTGAGTGATAAGAAAGGCAACAACATGCCTTTGTCGTGAGTCCATATTATTTATCAAAACAATGTTTTCACTCAGTGAATCAACACTTCTTTGTATAAATCAGGCGGTTTCAAGTACAACTAAAAAACTCTCTCTTGGTGGTCTTATCAACAGCTGGGCTAACGATGTACCAGCTGAACTGAAGTCCACTATATTAAGTTCCAGATTAAATACCTTTTCTGCTTCTCATGCTGCAACCACTCCACCCTCATTGGTATTATCTACTAGTACCAAGACCAGTTCCAGGGCCAAACCTGCGCACATCAATCAAAAGCAGTCAATTAGCACAACTGAGTCCAATGATGTCCTCATGGTCAGCGACAATAGTCTTGATGACCCTGAGGCTCTTGAACATCTTCCAGCTGTACTGTCTAGGAAGAAAGGGAAACAGCTGATTAAAGTAAGTCATTCTTCCCATCAGTTCAAGGACTCATTTAAATTTCAGAAGTCTACTCTAATTGTTCCCACCAGTGAGAGTGACTCTGAGCCTGAGCAGATCATGTTTTCTGCTCAGCCTGGTAGTATCAAGCGTAAGGCTGATAATGTTGGGGATTTTGTTGATGAGACTGCATCTGAGGCCACTGATGATTCTAGCTTTTCGGCTGATGATTCACAAGCAAGCCTCTTGCCCAAGGTTACATCAATTCCAGCCATTGAGAAGGGCCATGTTTCTCGCAAAACTACATCAGTACATGTATTTTTTTCATCTTGTGTGATGAACTGATTCACCATGTGTATCTCAGACATCTACTGTTGTATCTCAGGGTGCTACCCCTCCACCATCCAAAAAGTTGAAGAAAGAAAGCTTTGAGGTTACCAACTGCAGTGATCTTGTGCCTCTGCCCTCAACCCAAGTTCCAGCGGGTTATTACGACAATGACATACCTCCTCCCAACACCCAAGTCCCTCCGGCCTCACAGAAGGCTACTGTTACAATAACATTTACTCTGCTTATTCATCATCGCCGGATACGGCTATCTCACCTCTCCCAATTCCGACATCTAGAGCGTAGCTCTACAGATCCTCATCTCATGGCCGCCGCATCTGGAACCGGCCTAGACTTGCATCTAGAGGCATCTTGCCTCGTGTTTGATTATCATTGTGCACAGCACGATTCTCTTCTATTCTTTGATTGTATCTTGGACACCATCATGCGCAGCATGATTCCTTTATCTTCTATTGATTATCTTGATTGTTGCATCGTTACTATCAACATGCCAGAGCATGAACACTTACTTACTTAGATGCCTATCTCTGACTCATACTTATGGAAACCCGTCCTTGATAGATAGGCTTGCCCTGAACTACTCTTAGGATACATATAAATACCTTACATGTACCTAGATAGTTCTGCACTTTAATCTACTTGGTCTTACCTTGAAACCTGGTTCACTCTGAACACAGCTAGGTACCTTCGGGTACTTAGTTCCCCTTTTGGTGTATACACTAGTAATCCTCTCTAGTGTATAACCAAACTCTGAACCATCGTCGCCTAGACGGTTTACTGCCAACCTGCTTCCTTGACAGAAGAGGCTCCGCCAGTCGACTGTGGGACTAGTCTCGTTATCAGGCTAGCAGACGCGAAGCTCTCTACTTAGACATCCCTCATTATCAGGGATTAAAGAGGAGATCTATCCAAGTCATAACAGCTACTGCAAATGAGGTCATTAAGCTGCACAGTCAATATTGCAAAAATGATCTCCCGGTATCTGCCGACTCAAAGTGGGTGAAGGCCTTCTTGTCTATGACACTTCTCTGGGGCTGGAAGTCAAGCTAATCCATGGGAAATTTCCGAGTCTCTGATGGCAGATGCGCTGCAGGAGATCTTTGATGTGGTCTACCCTGATGTCAAATACAAGGTGAATTCAAATGGTGCTGTATTCACAGTGGTAAGTTCAGAGTTATTGTTATTTTTTGTTGTGTCTTTCATACACCTTTTTAGACACAACAGTGTCTCTCAGAGTGGAGGAGCAACATCAGCTCAACAGTGCTTGCGATCATCGTTGATTTTTGCTCTTGCATCAAAGATGCACCAAATGCCCTTGTCACCAAGCAACTCTTGAAGGATTTCTCATTCATATCTGAAGACCCAGATAACATATCACGGGAGACAGCCTACCTGTCTGCATTTGTACTGCAAATGATCACATCCACTCACCTCAGTGCCATTGTTGACCATGCCAGTGTACCCGCATTGAATACTGATGAGCTCACTTTGGGCAAAGGTATGGATGGTGTTATTGTGCTCTGTGTCATTGCCATGAGTTTTTTTAAAATTTGAAACCATGTTTCTTTTCTGATTGTTTCCAGCTTGAACATGCCCTCAAGTTTGTCAAAGACAGCATCATCAATGTCGATGAAGTTCTCACATCTATGGCCACTGGCAAGTTTTCTGTCAAGCTCCCGGTGAAATGCAACAAGGTAACAGACAAGATGTCAAGCGGATGTTACAAATTTTCCTTTGCCAATTGGCACAACAAGATGGAAGCATACATAAAGTCAATCAGCAACAGGAACGAGGACTCTAAACTAATCATCATTTCATGCCCACAAAGGTATATGAAGAAGTCTGCAAGGGGAGATGCCTCAGATGAAGGTATCGAGGAGACTCAGAGTGTTAACAAGCGCGCCCTCATTTGTAAAGTTTCTCTCTCCCCACTTAGCGTTATCATTGCTGACTTCTTTTTTTAAATAGAATACTACCATACTATGGGCTTTGACACAATATTTCTTTTTTTTTTCCTGCTGACACCAATAACAGACTTGCACATTTTTCCTACCTGTTTTCTACCAGTACTATTACTAATACATTCAAGTTGCTTTGCTGCCTTATATTTTCTTACTACTGTTTTTGCTGTTTGTTTGCAATGTGCACTTTTTCTTCTTAATACCAGAGGGATAAGTGAGATTAAGCCGAAAATCAGAGACACCTGGCATGTCAGGCAGGATTTGCAGAAGGCCTATACGTCAGAAGACATGCCTTTCCACCAGATGTTTTCACGAAGGTAGAGGTGAATCTTGGCTGGCCTGAGGTGTGCTAAGATAGAGTGAGCATGAGAGATAATAATTTCTCATACTTGCCATTGCTTTATCTTAATGTCTGGGATGCATAGGACATATTTTTCTTTCTCTCTCAAAAAGATTCAGTTGCTGCTGACCTCGAAGTTCTTGAACACAGCTGGGCTGCCCAATATTGATAGAGGGGTTGCCTAGTGCAATAACCTCAGTTAGGTGAGGAGATGAGACAAGAGACTGATCAAGTAGTGTAGGTGTGGACTAGGTTGTGTGTTGTGGGTCCTTGTTTGTGTCAGTGCCATTATTGTTCAGATCATGTGATTTGACTGATTGGGGTTCCAGGTCATATGTTTATGGGCGCTTGTTTGACAGTTCCTTGTTTCTTTGTCCTGTCACCTTCCTGCTCTCTAGTGATTCTGTAGGGGGTGACACCTTCAGGATTACTGGCTTAAATGTGGTGACAGGTGAGTCTTTTGCCTTTTGCTGAGTTACTGACATCTGCTTAGGTGTACTAAGTCCAACCTCATCCTGGTATGGAGTGATATCCCAATCTACTGGCTGTTGAGGTGCATTCTCCATGTGCAGGTCCATCAGAACTTGCTGGGGTACACCTTTGTGATCACTAGTTGTCAGAACATGCTGGAGTACATCCTTGTCCTCGTTCGCCTTCTCAACCTGCAGGGGTGCGCTGACATCTCTGTGAGTTGTCAGAACCTGCTGGGGTACGTCCTTGTCACATAGTATAGAGGGTACCTGTTGAGGTACGCCCTTATTCTGTCAGCTTGCCACTGTCTTATGAGTTCGGTCCTTTGTTGATGCAGTGTGCCTGCCAGCCTCATCACAATAAGTTCATAGCTTTTCGTGTAACACTTTGATGTGCATTGACACAGGCTCTCACAAGATAAAATGCACGCTGGTCGGTAGGGCTCCAGTCCCACTTGGTAGTCTGTGCTGCTACCTTCAACAGATGTTGCATGTAAACTCACACCCCTTCACACCTGGTGTAGAGACTCGCATCTCCACAGACACTTCCCTCGAATTCTTCCATTTCCCTCACACACTTCAGCTCTAATCCAAAGGATATGTCTTGCACAGTAGTGTCCTCTATTTTATTTTGCAGATTCCATGTGCAGCCACTCGCATCACGTGTTCACCTTCACATCATCCGCATACCTGTCCGTCTGTCCTCCCCATGTCCTTAGATGTTCATTGGTGCATTCTCTCACTATATTCCCATTTTGACTGATTGTTTTCCATCGCTAATACTTGGCTTAGTGCTACGCACGCAGCCAAGACCCTATTACCTACTTTGTGTACTATATTTAGCTTACTTGGCTTGCTACATCGGACCTGCATGCCTAGCGGCACTTAGTTATTTTACATATACCATCCCTCTACTCTATTTTCTGGGTCAATTTTCTGCCCACTTTCTCGGTGTCTCTAGATACTAGGAATTTACTCGTTGTTTGCCAGTGACTATCTAAAGTCGCACACATTAGTTATCCACCTTCGCCTTAACATCAGCCAACCTTAGTTGGGGTGTTAACACTTGTCTCACCTCGTCTCTCTTTTGTTTCTCTCACTTGCTAGTCTTTCACCTTTGCTCATGCACTACCTTTGCATCGCGCATCCCGCCTTTCACCTTTCGCACTCACACATCCATCCATTGTATATCACATCGCTCTCACCTCATGCTTTGCATGTCCATCAGTCTTATCACTCTATTAGTTGTTTAAGCAGTGTTTTATGCATTTTCATCCATGATCATGTGAAAGGTGTGCCTGCTAACACATCTCACCAGGAAAGGTGTCCCGTTCATCTTCAGACCAGAGGAGCACAAATCTTGTCAGATGCTCAAGGACTCTATATTAGAGTCTCCCACTCTTTGTCACCTTGATTATGAGAGCAACCGCAAAGTAATCCTCACTATTGATACATTGAACATTGGTATCAGTTTTATTATACTCCAGGTAGGGACAGATGGCAAGCAATATCCTAATCATTTTGGCAGTATTGTGCTGAACAAGGTGGAAAGCCACTACTCACAAGCGAATTTAGAGCTCTATGGACTCTTTTGCGTGCTTTGTGCAGTTCACATATTCATTTTTGGAGTCAAGAAACTCACCATCACATTTGATGCAAAGTACATCAAAGGTATTATAAACAATCCCGATTTACAGCCTAACACAACCATCAATCAATGGATCACGGGCATTCTATTATTTTCATTTAAGCTCATTCATGTCTCTGTGACAAAGCACAAAGGTGTCGACAGTCTCTCAAGGAGACCACTCACTGATGAGGATCCTCTTGAGGAGGATGATGACCACAAAGATTGGATTGACCACACATACTCATTCAGAGTTGTGTTGCTCAATGATAGAACTTACCACATCATGAGTAGTTGCACAGAACTTGTCTGCCACACACATCAGAACACACACTTATTGCTAGACTCACACACACCAGTACATTGTGCCTTCCTAGATGTCATGCAAGAAGAGTAGCCAGACCTGATTATTTCTTGCTCAGAGGCCACACAAGCACTAGACGCATTGCTTGTCTTAATTAAAGAGTTTTTTATTTCATGTGAAAGACCCACTGACCTTTCAGATCATGAATTTGCAGTGTTCATTAATTATGCCACATGCTTCTTCATTCTTGAGGGAAATCTCTGGCATAGAGAACCCCACAGCAAGTACCAGCTAGTAGCGCCACCATGCAAGCAATATCACCTTCTTAAGGAAGCACATGATGACCTTGGCCATAAAGGTGTCTACATCACGCACATGTGGTTGCTACTACACTTTTGGTGGCTGCACATCATTGAAGACATCAAGTGGTATGCACAAACATGCCATGAGTGTCAGATTTGCCAGATGCAAAAGGTCCATATCCTGCCAACCATACCAATACACAGAGGTTTGTTTTGCAAAGCACACATTGACATGATGAAGATACCCAGAGCAGGTGGATTTGAGTATCTCATGCAAGCACACTGAAGGTGAATCAACTCAGTTCTAGGTCAAATGATTAATCTAAGGGGAGGGACACAAGAAGCTGATATAGTGATCTAGAAGCACATTCAATCCAAGGGGAAGTAAGGAAGACAAATCCACAGTTGCACAGTGGCTGTGCAAGGCGAGCAATGTGCGGGCAAAGCATGGGAACACAAAATAGCAAAAATGCGAAATGCAATAAGCAATAAGCAAGGGCTCAATGAATGACAACTAAAGGACTGCTAATAGATTCTGACTCTGGCTATGGACATGATGGGGGAACTCCACTAAGGTAAGGTGTGGTGTAATAAAGGGTGAAAAATGCAGTCCTATATATGTATCTTGCTAAGTGAGCCAAGTAGGAGATAATGTATGTAATAATGTATGTAAGTCAGGTCCATGCTCTAATATGGTGTCATATTGAATAAAAATGCGAAAATATGTACCAGTGAGACTTGCTGGATAGTGGATGGATGCTCCTGGATGATAGGGCAATGAAAGTGCAGGAAAGTGGGCGATGTGCAAGTGCAAGAAGGTCGCACATCACGGGAAAGTGTCGCCTGATATGGTAATAGCTGTGAAAAGGCTAGATAATGATACTGCAAGTTGGTGCTGCAAATCTGGGTGGTATGAACTGAAGTATATCATGTTGCAAGCCTGCAACAGTGCAAATCTCTACAGCACGGGGCATCTCGCATCTTGCATGCATCCATCCTTGCATTGTCCACGCAGCCATCTGCCTGTCCTTCCTATGTCTTTAGATGTCCATTGGTGTGTTTTCCCACTATATTCCCATTTTGTTTAATTGTTTTCCCTCGCTAACACATGGCTTTGCTCTACACATGTAGCTGAGACCCTATTACCTACTTCACATACTATTTTTAGCTTGTTCAGCTCATCACATCGGACCTGTGCACCTAGCGGTGCTCAACTATTTTACTTATACCATTCCTCTACTCTATATCCAGGAGAATTTTACTTGTTGTTGCAGTGACTATCCATGTCTTGTGCACTAGTTGTCCGCCCTTCGCCTTATCATTAGCCAACCTTAGTTGGGGTGATATCAGTTGTCTTGCCTTGTCTCTCTTAAGTCTCTCTCACTCTTTCGTATTTTGCTCTCACTCACGCACCCTACTTTTGCATCACATATCTTGCACTTTGCCTTTCATACTCGTGCATCTGCATATCATTTCTCACATTGCTGTAGGTACAACAATTCTGCTAGGCTCTGCAGAATAATGTTGGGTCTTGCTCTGCCTGCTACTTCTTGAGACAAGCATGTTCAACCCTAAAGGGTTTCTGGACTAGGTATGGATTCAGAGGAAATAAAAGGATGACAAAAAGTATAGTAGTGATCTCTGACAACAGGTAGAGGGTAGGTAGTCTAGTAGTCAGTAAACAAGTATACTGGTCTAGAACATCATGGGTAGTATTCAGTAGAATTCTTGGTGAGGTTTGGAGTGCAAGTGTCAGGGTACTAGGTCAAGGGGAACATGCTTAGGTAAGCAGTGAAAATGCGAACCTAAGGTGAAGGAATGACTATCTGAAAGGTGTATCAAAATTGGCCCTTTTGAGCCCAGCACAGCAACTATTGTTACATCGCACTTTGTGCAATCATTAGTCCCATTACTCTAGTAGTAGTTTGGTGTCCCAGGCAACAGCAGGAACTCATTGTGATGAGCAATAAGCTGTATGCATTCTTGGATGATTGGAGGCAGATGGGACAGGAAATGGGAGACTTTGTTGTGGGGCAAGAATGTGCTCTCGAGTAGTTAGTCTTACTATAGCTTTTTTCTTCTGTGCCTTGCCTTCGCACATTTACTATACTCCATATCTCCTCGCATGCAACTTGCACCGTACTATATGTTTTTCTTGTCTTGCTGTACAATGTACCAGTTTCATGTCATGTCAAATTGAGTCCATGTGATCCTTGCATAAGTCCTAGTCCATATCCATGTCCAGAGAGTCCATTGGGCCTGGATATAGAATGAAATAGAATTGTAAGCGAGCGTGAAACAATTAAAACATGAAAAGAAAGGAATTAGCTGTATGTGCATGAGCTTTGTGCTCAACTTGTCTCCTTCGTGCGGCTTTTTCACATGACAAATAGTGTGCACTTGGGTTTGTCTTCATTGGGTTCTATAGTATTGTTAGCTTCTAAATGGTCTATACTTTTGTCATCAATTCCAGTCATCTGAGTGATGGATACACAATCTTTGCTATGCAGATAATAGAGTATCATGCGAGACACGGTGAAGCGAAGCTTTGATATTGTGCCATCTAATTCTGCAAGCATAAATGAACCTCCTTTCATGTGCCGCATGACCATCATTGGTCCAAGGTAGCGCAGCTTTGTCTTCTTGCTAATTTTATACTCAACTTTTGAGTTGTGGACGAGAACTAGCATGCCAGGTTCGAAGTCATAAGACTTGATCAACGCACAAAAACACTTTTCAAAGTCGCAAATAAACTTGAATCACACCTTCACTACCTTGTCTTTGATTATGTCTAGATCTGCTTTGCACTTCTGTAATTCACACACCTGCCATGCTATGAGGTCAGCTGTGGTAAATGCATCTTGACCTGGCAAAGGAGTGAGAAATGTCTCTTCAGCTTGGTCAAATGGATAGATAGGCTCAATGCCATGAGCCATGAAATACAGCGATAGGCCCGTTGCATGATGAATAGTAAAACACTTGGCCCAGAAAACAGAATAAACACCTTTATACCAGCATGAATCATCACCATTACAACTTTTGATGATGGCCTCCTGGACATCTTGGTGTCACCTTTTGACTATACCATTCACCTGGGAGTTATATGACGATATGTGAATTGGGTGAATCCCATACTTTCATGGGAGTTCATCTACCACAAGTCTATAGGTGCATTATCAGTCACGATTTCGGTAATCGGACCCCATCTGCAAAGGAGTTCTTCAAAAATGAAAGCAGTGACTTGGTATTCTCTTTGCACAACATGTGCCATTTGGAATAAGACATTAGCGCTGAAGATGAGGAATCTAAACTGTGGGGAAAGTTGATGCTAAGCTAAGCAAACACAGATTGACCCGGGCATGAGTGAAATGTCAAACCAAGGGCAGCTGTCTGGGTAAAGGGACACCAAACTAGTAATAGGGTAATAGGACTGTAAGACACACAAAGCGCAAGGCAAGAGCGATGCAATAAACAATAGGCAGATGTGCGAGTGCAAAGGGCAAAGGGCAAAGGGCAAAGGTAGTGCATGCAAGCGAGAGTGAACTAAGAATGAGCGAATGAGACAAGAAAGAGGCAAGGCGAGACTACTGTTGACACCCCAACTAAGGTTGGCTGATGCTAAGGCGAAGGGTGGACAACTAATGCATGAGACTTAGATAGTCACTGCAATCAATGGGTAAAATTCCCTTGTATCTAAAGACACAGAGAAAGTGGGCGGAAAATTGACCCAGTACATAAGTAATAGAGGGGTATAAGTAAGATAACTAAGCACCGCTAGGCGCACAGGTCCGATGTAATGAGTCAAACAGGCTATAAATAGTACGTGCAAAGCACAAAGCTGAGCATTAGCAATGAAAAACAATTAAACAAAATGGGAATATGATGGGAAAATGCACCAATGGACTTCTAAGGACATAGGAAGGACAGACAGACGGGTGCGCGGACAATGCGAGTGCAGATGCGCGATGCGTGTGAAAGCGAGAGGCCACATGCAAAATCTGTGAAAATAAAACATGTGTGCTAATGCGCTAGATGTATCCTATGGATTAGAGCTGGAGTTTGTAGGGAATGTGGGAGAATTTGGAGGGAAGTATGTGTAGGAATGCGAGTCTCTACAACAGCGGGAGACTGTAAAATATGACTGTCCCCAGTCAGCGTGTTCACACGAATGGACTTGGAGAAATTTTGATGAAGTGAAGGTCACGTGATTGCAGTCCATGGTCTGAATGTGAAGTGCCGGTGGTCAGCCTTGTGACTTCAGAAATTAGCGTGAATGCTGACATAATTGTGGTTAGCACAATTAAAAAAGTGCTACGTGGCAACACATTGTTCTTCCATCTTTTGCTGTAACCGCGATGAACACTTTACAACATGTCCACTTTCAATCTTAACCTGCTTGACTCTTATCGTTCTCCCAAGCCCAAGCCTGAGGCTCCTGTCGGTGATGCAGCGCCCAAGGAGGGTTCAGTGTGTGGTAGTCCTGCAGCTGAGCCTGAATCAGATAACACTTGTGTTACCTGGACATGGGCCACAGTGGTTAAGTTGCTTGACACATCCAAAATGACGTGTCCAGACCTTAAGCAGGAGCTGCTTGAGGACATAGAGACATGGTTGCATGAGTGGGATGTGCTAGAGGTACATTTTTCTTTTCGTGTGGCAAGTGTTGTCTGACTTACTGGTTTTTGATAGACTAATATTCGTGCATGTCACAATGATGCTAACAAGGCAGGCATCGCACTTGCTCTTACCGACGATGAAAAGTCCAAGATGACAAGAATAAAGTGATGGGCCATGGTAGCCCAAAAAATGGTGAAGGACTGGAAGGTTGCTGCGGAGAAGTTGATGGAGGAGTCTTGCATTGCACGTGAGGTGGGGAAGAAGGGGAAGGGCAAGAAGAAGGAGACTGATGCAAATATGGACATGGAGAAGCTGGTAAGTGATGAAGTCCCTTTCCTCTTCTTACACTAAAAGTTTTTTGTGATAGAAATTGGGGGGATGCATGTCCGCCAAGAAGACTAACAACCTGAAGTGTGAGTGCTGCACTTTGCGCAAGATTTCATGCATGGAGGGTTGTACCTCACATTATGTGCCATGCAACAAGTTGCATATTGTGTGCTCTTTTGGTATGTCCCTGTCATGTTAGCATTTCGGCTTCGTACTAACTTGTTTTTCAAAAGCTGCTAAGTGTAAGGCCGCTGGTACTGCAGGTCCCACTTGCAAGGTGGCTTGCATAGCTGGCGGTTGCGCAGCTACAGGTCTGACTTCAGTGGACAATGCCAAACCTACAGTCAAGTCTGAGGTCGAGGTTGAGGAAATCGCCCCCCTGGCTCCAGAGCAACCTGCTCACCCTAAGATTCACCTGCCTGTTTGTCCGGTTGCAGGAGGGTCTCAGGTGGATGATAAAGGGGAGCTTGTTCAACTTCATGCTGAGGGTGCACATCTGACTGAGGAGAACACTCACCTGTGCGCTTCGCAGGAAGAGTATGCGCAGTTTGTCCAGAACACGCATCAGCAAGCTCAAGCACAGCAAATCAAATTTGTTGCAATGAGCAACAAGCTCTACACATGGGCAGATGACTGGAGGGACATGGGGTGGGAGATGGAGGACTTTGTCGTGGGGCAAGAGTGTGCTCAGAAGTAGATAGATCCTGTTACAAGAACATCTTGATGCTTGGGCCCCTACCATTTTTCTCCTCATCCTACTCGTATCAGCCCTCGCATCACACCCTTACCCCGACCTTACTCTTGTCATACTGGTTATCCTCGCAATCCCCTTTGCCCTCTACCTGTCATTGCAGCAAAGCCAGTACATCTGGCCAGATCCCTTTGCTGACGAAGCATACCCATGCTCCGTCCCACCACCTGACTGATCCTGTGGACAGTCCCTCTGCCCTTACCATCCGGATGGTAACCTATGATATGACGCATGCTGCATCCCTCTGCCCAGTTCCCTTTTCAATCTATGACTCGGTGCGCAGTCGCGCATGTGTACTTATACTTAGCTCCGCAGTTGCACGATCGTGCCCTGCGCGTTTCACTTCTTATTTCGATCTTTGACTCACTTTCTTATCAGCACGTTCATGTTCACTCGTGTCTCACCGCAAACGTGCTTTTCTGTTATAGTCTTACCCTTTACCGATTGCCTCTCTTGGTAGTATGAGTTATCACCCACTAATACACTTCCTATCCTCTATATAAACTCACTACCATGTACTATATTCCTTAACTTGAATCTACTTGGTTCTTGACCTCCTACTCTCACCAGAGTGATCCTTTCTGCCTAGCCAGCAGTCTATATTCTATCCTCTTATCTGCTCTTCGCGGATAAGTCTTTAGTCTCGATCTTTACTCATCGACTTCGTCGATGAGCAAAGCCCCTGTTAACTAGTCGGACTTCTGTCCTTCTAATTAACGACAATCTTACGATTAACCTTCGGGTGTCGTAAGCCTTGGCCGATATAGCTTATCGTCTAGCACCCACTTGACATAAGCTAGCCGATTTGGACATAGGCATCAAATCTTACTTGCCAAAGCCTCGCCAAGTAAGACCCCTAACCTTGGGCTAGCCCAAGGATGTCCTCGACCGTTGACGACACATGCTCTGTTTGAGCGTCGCCAACAGATACCATCCAAGTCGTAACAGATCCTACTTAGTTTCCTTCTTCCTTTTTCTCTTTCGCACGCCATCTTCGCGCATCTGTACTATACATCTGTCTCTCCACATGCGCTTTGCACTGTACTTATACAAATATATCAGGTTCTCGTCGCATCTGAATTTGTGTATGATCCTCATGTTAAGTTCTAGTCCTCATCCATGTCCATGTCCAAAGAATCCATTAAGCCTGGATATAAATGAAATAGAACTGTAAGCGAGTGTGATATAGTTAGAATGAAAAGAAAAATATTTAGCGATATATGCGCAATCACATGAGCTTTGTGCTCAACTTGTTTTCTTCATGCAGCTGTCTGCATCTATTCCTGCTTTGGGCAATTAGGGTGATCAAGTAAAGTCTATATAAAATGGGCATGGTGCAGCTTTGCACGTTCGAAATGGAAGGTCTATGCGGATGGTTATGCACATGCGAGTCAATAGGAGAACTTATCCGTATATACTGTTATGGTTATAATGCGTGATGCACGTGATATAATAGAGTCTGTGTTTTTGTCATGTTCAGTGAATGTGCAGGATATATGATGAGATGTGAGATAGAAACTGAGGTCACCGGATGAAACCCAGGGTAAAACTCAGAGTAAATACTTCTAGTGAGACTGTGTTTTTGTGTTTTCTATATTTTTGCAATGTTTTTGTTCTTGTGGTTGCGGGATGATATGTATGAGAGCTGGGGTCGAGAATTTGGGAATGCGGGGGTGCGGATATGAGGGTACACAATGAGCGAGCCTTCACACGCAATTCATCTTGCGCGCATCAGGTTTGTCTTCATTGGATTCTATGGCTTCATTAGCTTCTGAATGGTCTATACTTTCATTGTCTATTCTGGTCATCTGGGTGACAGATATGCAATCTTCGCTGCATGTATAATATGGTATCACACAAAACACGGTGAAGTGAAGCTTTGATATTGCGCCGTCTAGCTCGGTGAGCATATAAGAACCTCCTTTTGTATGCCGCATAACCATCATTGGTCAGAGATAGTGCAGCTTGGTCTTTTTGCTAAGCTCATACTCGACTTTCGAGTTGTGGACAAGAACTAGCGTGCCGGGTTTGAAGTCATAAGACTAGTGTTTTTCAAAGTCGCAAACAGACTTGAATTGCGCCTTCACAACCTGATCTTTGATCACATCTAGGTCAGCTTCACACTTCTGTAATTGGCACACATGCCAAGCTATAAGGTCAGCGGTGGTAAATGTGCCTCAGCTCAGTACTGTTAAGACTTGGATGGTATCTGTTGGCGACGCTCAAACAGAGCTTGTGTTGTCAACGGTCTGTGGACGTCCTTGGGCTAGCCCAAGGTTAGGGGTCGTACTTGGCGGGTCTTTGGCAAGTACGATTTAACGCCTATGTCCAAATCGGGTAGCTTATGTCACGTGGGTATGGGACAATAAGCTATATTGGCCTGGGCTTACGACACCCGAAGGTTAATTGTAAGGATCGTCGTTAATTAGAAGGACAGAAGTCCGACTAGTTAACAGGGGCTTTGCTCGTCGACGAAGTCGATGAGTAAAGGTCGAGACTATAGGCTTATCCGCGATGAGCAGATAAGAAGATAGAATATAGACTGCTGGCGAGGCAGAAAGGATCACTCTGGTGAGAGTAGGAGGTCAAGAACCAAGTAGATTCAAGTTAGGGAATATGGTACATGGTAGCGAGTTTATATAGAGGACAGGAGACATATTAGTGGGTGATAACTCGTACTACCGGGAGAGGCAATCGGTAAAGGGTATAACTATAACAGGAAGGCACGTTCGGTCGAGGTAGAACGTGCTAGATAAGAAAATGAGTCAGAGATCGAAAATAAGAAGTGAAACGCGCAGGGGCATGATCGTGCAACTGCGGATCTAAGTATAAGTCGCATGTGCGACTGCGCACCGAGTCAGAGATCAAGAAAGGGAACAGGGCAAAGGGGATGCGTCGTGCATCGTGTCATAGGTTACCGTCCAGACGGTAAGGGTAAGGAGACTGTCCGCAGGATCAGTCAGGTGGTGGAACGGAGCACGGGTATGCTTCGTCAGCGAAAGGATCCGGCCAAATGTACTGGCTTTGCTGAAGTGACAGGTAGAGGGCGAAAGGGAATGCGAGGATGATGAGGATGACAAGGGTAAGGTCAGGGTAAGGGTATGATGCGAGGGCTGATATGAGGAGGATTAGGAGAAAAATAGTAGGGGCCCAAGCGTCTAGATGTTCTTGTAACATTACCCCGGTTTCTAGGACTGAAATCAACGAGTTCAGTTATCCATGTTGTCATACCAGGAGGGGTTGCAGTCGAGGTCACGGAGTATGTCCATGGCCTCTAAAGCATTCTCTTCTCTATCTTGTTCGAGTCGCGCAGCATCATGATCATATGCTGCCTCTAACTGACGCATGTCAGTGTAGAATGTTTCCGAAGATATTCCTCGACGAAGGATCTTCTTGCCGTGAAGGCGAGGGCAGAAGGGGGTGAGATGTCCGGGGGCGAACAGTCCACAAATGCAGCAGAAATATTGCTCGCATTGTTTTTGTTTGTGGCAGTACTGGTGGCAGACCCTGCACTCAAAGTTGCACTGGTAAGGTTGTGGGGTTGTTCTAGTGTGCGTGTCGTTAAGTAGTTGTTGCCTAGTGGGATCCTGGCCCGGTACATGTCGAGTGGTGGGTAATCCGAGTGCAAGGATGCGCTCGGTATTCAGTCGGCGACTTCGTCGGGGTCTACATGTGGGTGGAGGGACGGGGACAGGGGTATCGTCCCTGATGATAGGTGACCCGATAGATAATATCGGTATGTCATCGGTAGAGGTGAACCCTGGAGGGGGAGTGGTAAGACGAGCTTCCAAGCTCGGTTCGTCTTCTTCGTTCGTCTTTCTCCAAGGTGGTGTGCGAGTTTCCTTACTCGACTTTTCTTCTTCGTGCTTCTTCTTTCCTTTATAGGGAGTAGGTAACGGGTCGTTGGCTACGACCTCGTCATTGATGATGGCGGCTTGGAGTTCTTCGAGCTCGTCGCTAGTCATCATCCTGTACTGCTCTTCTTCGTGTTCTGCGAACAGTTTGTTGATTTCTTCGGATGTGAGGTTGGTGGGAATAAGGTTGGTTCATTCAGGGGGAGGAGTTGGAGCACTGCACTCGGCAGTACGCTCAACAACGGTTGCCTGTACAGGCGGTTGGTTGTATGCGATCTCTTCTTCTATCTTGACGACTACGTCGCCGAAATTCCTGGATGCGAGAAGGTTCAAGAGGGCCCTCTTGGCCTTTGTAACGGAGTACCGAGTGATCGGGCTATGGGGAAGGATGCCGTATGGTCCGGTTGTGAAAGCGACAGTGTCAACTGCCTGAAACGCGTTGACAAGCTCCAGGAGAACCGTGTCTTTGGTACGGTCAATATAGCTGTCGAGTCTAAGCGCGTACTGCGCGTCGAGAATAATGGCCTCCCAGAATGCCTTCTGAGAGTCCGGGGTCTGCGTGAAAGGAACGGTGAACTCGTGGATGAGTTCGACGATGGAGGGTGTGGAACCGAGAGAGAGGGAGGAGGCATTGGACGAAGTGGTAGACATGGAGATGATGGTAGCTGGTTAACAACTGAGGAGCTTTGTTGTCAGCTTGAGTCTCTTCTTATAGTCCTTGAGCATCTCCGCTGCGGACTTCAAGTCCTTCTCTGGGATCCACGTTCGTTCGGAGGGTGGATAACCAACCCAGGAGACCAGGTATCGGTGTTTCGTTCCGGTACCCCTGTGTTGGAGGATCGCTTCTATTTCATAATGTTCTTCCCCGTCGATCAGGTCCGGTGGCGGTTCAGTAAAGTTTGGGCCATGCACGTCCGTTTCTTGATAGGAGGATAATTCTGATGCATGGAACGTGGGATGAACACGCCAGGTGGCAGGGAGTTCGAGGGTGAACGTGATGGGGGATAGGACCTGTTTAACGGTAAAGGGTCCGTATCGCTCCGGAAGATCAGTGATAAGATCGACTGAAACTTGGGAGAACGGTCGAGTGCAAGTGGAGGGAATGGGCATAAGGGGAGGTGTGGTGGGATGAGTGTCGGATTTCATCTGCTGGCACATAGTGCAGCCATCAACATATTGTCGGATGAAGGTGCCCATGCCGGGCCACCAATAGCTTTTCTTGACGTTCCATTCTGTATTGGAACGTCCGGGGTGCCCGGCAGTCGGGTGATCGTGGTGGAGCTCCAGAATGCGCTTCCGGAGGTCAGGGGGAACGTAGGCT